ATTTCTTATGGGTTTTTCCCGCAAGAGAAGGGTTTCCAATGGCTCTATGGAATCTCTGGCCCTCTTTGGCATACCGCCTTTTCCGTCACAAGGGTCTTCGCCTTCCTTGCCTTCCTTCTTGGCTTGAGCATTCTCCGGATCCCCTAAAGAAGACTAAGGCCTCTGTCCATGCCTCATCCTCGCCGCAATGGGTTCCCCTGCTTCCTTCTCCTTTGGATTTTCCTCCTTGGTACTCTGCACCCCGTAGGTAGTGTAGCTGCCAGGCCGCGCCATGGATGTCCACTGGAGCCTCCTGACGCAAAGGACCGGAAGCGAGCGGAACTGAGGACTGATCTCGAGCTACCTCAAGGACGACCCGTTCTCCCAGTGACACAGAAGCAGCGGTGTCGACTTTTGAGTTTGTTTGATGCTTGGCTTCATGATCAAGGATGGAGCCTTGAGGAACTGCTTTTTGTTGGAGAGCCAAATATTGATGGCTTGAACATTTTGTTGGAAAAGTACGGCCGAGAGATTTTCAGAGCAGGCCGTCCATACAACCATTATGCTGAAACCATCAATGCCATCTCGGGAAAACGTCCCCGGATTCGCAGGTCCTTACAACAGGCCTGGGATCTGGGCTACGCCTGGTTGAGACAAGAACCTCCAACACCACCTCGCATTACCATTGTTGTGCATCCTTTCAACTTCATTGAGCTGGGGTTGGGCCAGGGTGGCTGGTGTGATCGCCCTTTCTTGGGGCAGCTTGAGCAGGATAGGGGAGGTTTTGGCTGCTACTTGAAAGCAGTTGATCCTCCCCATGGACGTGGAGAACTCGACCGACTACGCCCTCCTTCAAATAGCTGAACCGAAGACAAGGTTCAGAGCTGCTAGGCATCAGGTAGCAAGACTTGATCAGCCCCAGCTTCTGAGGATTTTGGTTCTGGCTTTTGGAGGTCTCGACCCTCTTTGCAGACTGTGGCCGATGTCGGGACAAACCATGAGGTTGCGTTTTCAAAAGTTGCTGCAAGCAGTTGGTTTGGCAAACCTGCCCGGAGGTCTCTCCTGAGGCCTCGATCTGGGGAGCCTCCGGGCAGGGGGAGCTACGTGGATGTTGATGACCAGCGAAAACGCTGAGATGACCCGTCGCAGGGGTCGCTGGATCAGTTCAAAGGTCATGGAGGTGTACATCCAGGAGGCTTGGTCGGTGCAGTTCATGCCAATGCTCCCTCCAGTCATCAAGAAAGCTGTGTTTGAAGGTGCTGGATTGTTTGATTGGGCGCTGGACCTTACTAGCAGATTTGCAGCAGCAGGTATACCAGAGAAGATTTGGTTTTTCCTGTTACGTGAGCACGCAAAGCTCGACAGCAAATGATGGGTAGAAGTGAAAGAGGTGGGTGAAGATGGAACACGATTGGCCAAATGGCCCTGTGCACACTCCCTCGACTATGGAGAAAAGAAGCGCTTGAGACGTTATATATATCTGTGTAGTTGTCACTTAAGATCTGAGGATGTGCCCAACAATGTCTCGACGGTGTTGGAGGTCTTGGGCAAGAGAACGAGAGATTTGGAGGCCCAACAGAGGCAAATCTTGAAGCGCCACTTATGAATAAGCTTGGCCTGGCCTGTGCAAAGGGACGGGAATTCTTCCCCGCGAATGCAGAGGGAGGTGTTGCAGTCCAAGGGATGCTACTTTTGCCGGGCGTGCCCGGAGAAACAGAACATGGGGCGGGGCGCGTTTCAAGCGGCGCATGTGTTTTTCAAGCGACGCGTTGTGGGGAAATCTTGAGCAGGTCTCAGGTTCTTGATGATTTTGATCCTTGTGGTGAAGCATAACCGCGATCCAGCTGGGTCGCGTCCTGGCAGGTGTACCCTGGCGTCCTGGCTTTGTTTCGGGAGATCACGGCCCATCGCGCGGCCCAGCAGAGAGAGAAACCCAAGGAGAGGAACACCAGCAGCTGTTCCGCCACGGGAAGCTTGTGGACAGAAGTGCATAGAACTGGGGAAGCAATCGAAAGATTGACACCCCTCCATGTTTTCCACCACCCCTGCATTTGGAGAATTTTTGTTTTTGCTCTTGGATATTCATGTTCAGCCACTGGCACCACTAGATAAAACCCTATGTATATATATGTATATAATGGAGGGTCTGTGGTGCGATTTCGCGTGCTAGTCCAGAATTTCACAACCACCAACCCACACCACAAGTATATCCTGCCCCCTGAGCCTGGAGTCAATTTCACGGTGTTTTTGGGCAATTCCCCTTTTAAAACACCAGATGGATCAGGACCTGAAAGAGTTTATGTATAGTCTGCTACGTGTACCACGCTGCTCACATTCGAACACTTCCAGCAAGTCCTGTACTGAAAAGAAGGGTGTTTGTTTAATATCAAACCGATGTTTCTTGTACCATCCAAGCCGGATCCAGCCATCCTAACATGGTAGCAGGTGTAGCTACCTCATGTTTCAACCCTAGCAGGTAGCAGGTCAGACATCTTCCTGCGCCGGCAGGGTGATGTTTCATTCCATCCTCCACAGATTCGAGCGCGGTCCAACTTGGTGCCGCGCTCAGCTGGACGATGCGGGAGGAGCGGGTCCAGTACCCTCAGTCTTTTCCCTCGTCCGTCCGACAATCCGGATACCTGAAACTGGAATGAATCTATGAAATCGGGGGAACCGCAACAGACCCAACAAGCAAGAACAAGACTCTTTTTCCGGTGGACACAAAGCCCCCATCGAGTCTCTGGCTCCTATGTGCTTGCCTTGAGTCGAGCGAGGGCGTAACCTGGTGCATTTTCACACCGGCCCTACTCTAACGGCCAAGCGAGACCAAGAGAACGTCATGCGTTGTGCATTATGTTCTATGGCCTGTTTCGGAGAGTGACCAATACCCAGTGTTGCAAACACATCTAAGAAACTCCAAGTTCATCTTTTTCGTAAGGGGTCCGCGATCATGTTATCACCAGCAACCCAACGTAAGGAACCCCCCGATCTATAAAGATCGTCTTTCAAGATGGCTATGTCTACAGCCGTTCTCTTGTCCTCAACCTGAGAGTATGTGCAAGCCAGTTTGTTGATGCAGTCGTATAGCGACCGAGAATCAACTACTGAGACGTAGGGGATGGCTGCCAAATGCCGCTCCCAATCCTTGGACTCCAAGGTCGTGCCCATCAGTTCGAGAAGGAGGTAGCGGTGCCAGTGGATATGGCCAATGCCATGTACCAGCGACTGGCATTCGGCACTCAGGGTGTTGACCGTCTTTCTTTTGAGCTTTGTTGACTTCCATGACGTCACTGAGACCACATGAGGTCGGTCCTCAGTTTCCATTCTTTTGTCATAGAAGATCATCACGTAGCCTCCTTGGCTGCTGCAGTTCAAGAGCTTGAGGAAGTTGCTGCAGTTCTTTTCATGTTCAAGCTCATGTCCTGGAAGCTGCTTTGTCAAGGTGGTTTTGCCCGTCCATGTAGTTTCTAACCAGGTTCTGACATTATTCTCTTTTGTCCATTCATCCATTCATCTTCTAGTATCTCTTCACTTGTTGTCATCGTCCTTTGACCTGGTTGAAGTCGTGAAGATCTGGACCTGGTTCTGCTCCTGGGTGGAAAGGAACTCGTCTGGGTGTGACATGGTGTCGGATCCAGTGAGAGCTATGTTCGAGCTGTTCGTGGCTTCTGGCGTTTGACCATCAAGCGTCGGTGGCCACCCCGATCCTCAGGTTGTTTTGGTTGATAGGCGCAATCTTGATGCCGCTGGATGGATGCTTTCGGGCTTCCTGGGTGATGGAGTTCGCCTCAATGATGTCTTTGATGCAAGGTTTTGGAAACACCTGTTGGAGCAAGGCCACTCGTCCTGCTATATCAGGTCTGCTTTCTTTTGCGAGCCAGGCCAAGGCGCCTACACTGGCGCGAAGCTGAGTGATCTCCTTCTCATCGCAAAAGGTGTATCTCTTTTTCTTTCGTTGTTTTTCCAGGTTGATCTCCAAGAGCTTCTCCTGGATGTAGTTCTCCTGGTTGACGATGATGCTGGAGTCTTCTTGTTGGGTGAACATTTTTCCAGTAAAATTTCCGGATCCATACTGGAACTTTCCAAGTTTGTATTTGGTTTTGATCTGGTCCATTGCTCGTTGATGTTCTTCGTCACCTCCATGTAGAAGGTCGTCCGTAGCAACAGCGATGATGCCGCTGAGTATCGGCTCTCCAGTCTGTGGGCTGAGCTTGTGCTTGTAGTAGATGCAAGGATCTGCCAGCGATTGTTGGTACTCCAGTTGGCCTGTCAAGAATTTCTTTTGGTGGTTGTACCAAGCTAAAGGACCATCTGTGAGCCCGTAGCACACTTTTTCCAGCTTGAGGAGTTGGCATGGTGCTACTCCGGGTAGTCGCATACAGAAGTCTATCGATAGCATCTCCACTGTGGAACGCCTGGGTGAAGTCCAGGAATCCAAGCTTCCAGCGATGGCTTGCCACCAGCTGAGCCACCATGAGCGTGCCTTCTCGGGTGACTTGAGGAGTTGTTGCCTCGATATCTTCCGATCCTTCTTCGCTGAATCCTTTCATCACATGTCTGGCTTTGGCCTTGCAGGGCTCCTCGGAATCCCAGTCAAGTAGGATTCCTTCTTGTTTGGCCGGTTCCACTTCATGAGGTTCCAGTGGTTTTGGTGTCAGAACCAGTCGGCTCTCCATGATTCGATGCGGCATCGTTTGTCCGACTCTGGCTGATTCTTCGGGGGAGACGATGGAGTACGCCCCGATGTTGATGTTATCGTTGAACTCCTTGCTAATCGCTGCTAATCGCTGCCTTGAAGCATTTTTGATTCTTGTTGCTAAGTTCTTGAAGGCGGAGCTCCTTTCTCTGTCGAGTCTTCATGAGGTTTTCTACCTTGTTCAAGTAGATCTCGAGGACTCATGTCTTGATCTTTTCAGAGGAGGTTGCCCTTGTTGTTCTCCTTCATCAATCTCTATTTTGTTGTTTTCGTCGGCTCCTTCATTGGGAACTGCTGCCTGTGGTTCTCCTGGTACTTCCTCAGCAGGTAGTTCATCTTGATCCAGTTCTTGTGAAATTTCTGGCATCGAATCGTAGGTGGATCTCGATGAAGATTTTCTTGTGGTGCTTTGGTGCGATATCTTTTCGCTGGAGGGGGTATCCAAGAGGTTCTTGAAGTCCATCTGGTAGAGAGGCAGTTGGGAGTTCCATCGGTTCTTCTTCGCGAGGTTCTGAAGGTTCATAATCCATGTCACCTAGGTCTCCGTCTTCGAGGTCTGGTGGCAGTGGTTGATCCGATAGGTCTAGGAAACCTCGGACTGGCTCCGTACTGAGATCCTTCTTGATGTTCACGATGTCGTCGAGCCACCCGGAGAGAGCCAGATTCTCTTCTGATGATGCCCTCCGAATACGTTCTGGACTAGCTTTGGCCAGATTTTGGTTGGTATGCTAGCCAAATAGACCCAGGTTTGAACTTTAGCTTTTTGTCTGCTCCCATCCGGTAGAAGTAGACAATCTCGCCAATGTCGTATTCCAGGATTGGTCTTGGTCCGGAGGAAATAGCTCTTCAGCTCTTCTTAAGGCATTATCTGCATCGGCTTCAATGAAAGCTTGGGCAGCCGCCTTTCGAAGTTCATGGATCTCTCAATACTGAGATCTCCCATCTTTGGAGTTGGAGTATCTTCTCTGTTTCGGTGTCCATCATCTCCATTGAGTAGTCCTCCAGGGAAAAAGGGGTTGAAGCCTAACACACGTTGACGGGGACTGAATCCTCCCACATTCATCATGCGGTTCTTGGTCATCGTAGTGAGGTCTATCATTTCTTCCCACTCTTGCATGTTTCCAAAGCTGTAGGTGTCCATAGTTTTCTGGAGGATGTACTAGAAGGTCTTCCCATGTCTCTCTGTGATACCTCTTTGATGAGGTGCCTCCACAGCTGCTGGGTCGATGTAGGTGCCATCCTGTTCGACTTGTTCTGCAAAGGTACGTCGGAACTCACGGCCAAGGTCCAGGGCCATTCGTTTTGGAGGGCCGAACATAGCCAGCGCCGGTAAGCTTCTCGGACTTGTCCTGGCTTTTTGTTGGGCAAAGGAATCATGAGTTGAAATTTGCTTGACCAATCAATCACGTTCAGTGCCGGTCTCGATTGGTTGCCCAATGTTGGCAAAAAGACTACGTTCACTCCAACACACTCATTGAAGCTCAGCTCTTTGGGTGGAGCACTTCGTCGGGCCGGTCGAACCTGAGCGTGTCGTTGACATACACTACATTTCAATTGCTTTGCCGCTTCAATGACTTCTGGTTTTGCCTTTGCGTAACGAAGTATGCGAACAAAGCGGTCTGGACTTGGGTGTCATCCCGACGTGCGCTCTATGGAGGAGTCGGTCCAGAGTGAAGCGTCGCTCAAAATGTAGTGGTGCATTTGGTCGTTCTCCTTGTTCGTCACCATCTTCTTCCTGAGGTTCTTCGCCATCGTCTGGTTGTTCTTCGGCATGTAGTTCCCAGGCCGGGCTAGGTAGAAGACCTTCGCTTTGGTTTGGTTATCACCTAGGCGGAGTTCATGTTCAGGAGCTCGAGGATTACATAGTGAAGTTTCCAAGATCCGTTCTGGTAGTCGATCCGGTTCAGGTCCAGGTTGATGGGATTGTCCAGGATGAAGTTCGGTGTCAACCATCAGCTCAACAGTCAGAAGTGAGTTCAAGCGTTCGTTCTCGAGGAACATCTGATCAGATGTGGTGGTGTAGACCTCCGTTCCAATGGATTGAGCATAAGCGGCCAAAATGGCCGTTCGAAGGCCTTCTGGGTAGACCTGTGCTTTCTTGGACTTGTTGCCACCAATGATGACTTCATGTTGATGATCGCCGGGGGCACTGAGGGCCTTGGCGATCTCGGGACTGTTGGTAGCAAAGCCGGTCCTTTTTCTTTGAGGGTGGCCAGATTCTCCACGGAGTCCATATTGGCATTGATCTGCCTTCGTGTACACTACGTTCGGTTTGGAGAGGAGCTCCTTCTTACTTCTTGTCCTGGCGGATCACCTCGTTGCAGTGGCGGCAGGTCACCTTGGTCAGGAAGGCATTCGATTTTTTCCGGTGTGTTGACGCGTGGGGACAGATGATCATTTCCAGAACCTCCGCATA